GGCTCCTTGTTGGCAACGGACGACACCTAAGGAGGTGAAAAGAAGGATTCCCGGGGATTTACCCGGTGGGAATACTCCGAAGCTTAAGTCAGAACGTTGGGGAAGGAGAAAAAAGTGAGTGCGAAAGCTAAGAGTGTAGGTCGCGCTTTATCATTGTGCTCGAGAGATTAGCTTGCGAGCAGGTAAAGACTTAGGTTGAGAATATGAGAGTGCGGAAGTATTCAAAATTCTGAGAGATCCCCCTTCTCCTTTGCCTCAAGGGCTTTTATAGGGGAGTTACTGTCAAATCGGGTGTAACCGCCACTGGGCCCCTGCCGCAACCGTTACCTGCCAGGGCTGCACAGGTGATCGTTGCAACGTACCTCTTGCTCGGATGATTGACACGTCTTAAAGGGGTAGGCACGCCTTCGCCTGCTGAGAGACATGGGTGCAGACTGTTGAAAGGACAGGGACTGCGCCATCAGTCAAGAGACGTGGCGCAGTCTGGTCGGTACGGTTTGTTAGGTAGAAGCTTCCTGAGAAACGTCTGCGCTGCTCATTCGTGAGCTACTTTGTAGCGAGCTTAGGAATACTTCGGGTTTACCCTTACTAAGGCTGTTCTAGGGTGATTTATTCACTTAGGGGCTGGAGCGAGCTGGTTTCCCTAGCTCGCAAGCTGAAGTAGTCTTGGAGTATCCCCTTCGGGGTAGCTCGGGGGGACCCAGAGCTTGTGTCGTAGCGAGCTCCTCCTATAGCGAACTATGATATAGCGAGCTGCTCTACGTGATCAAGCTACGATGTTGAGCTGTTGCCCATGCTGAGTCAAGTCCACGTGTCATCATTCCATAGGTCGGGTCAAATCATCCTCCATCAGTAAGCATGTATGTGTTCTGCACATAGCAATTCTATATGATGATAATAATAGTAATAATATATTCAAAATTTTCTATAAACTTTTATGTATATTTTGTTTTCATATTTTATATTTTTTATTATTAATCGGACGTAGATTGCAAAATCCAAATTTGATACATAAGCACCTCATCCAATTATGTGATAATTGGATTGAGTTGTGAAGCTTTAGATATCACTGGCAAGCCTACCTGGTTGATAGGGATGCAAACGGATTGGAACGGATTCGAATCAGGATATATTCGAATATGATCCAATATTATTAACAGCAGATCCGATCGCATCTCATAAACATGGATTTGAATATGAATCCGATGAGAAAGTCAAATATTTGGATATGATCCATTCCAATTTAATTTAAAAAATAATAAAATATTAAAAGAAAATTAAAATATAACAATTTAACTAAAGAAAAACAAAAAAATACAAGTATCTTTTCAACTATTTTCATCACATATATACATCTTTTATAAAAAAATAAATAATATAACAAATTTACAAAAATACAATATAAATAAATAAATAGCATATATATACATACATACATACATACATTGGATATATATATGTATGTATGTATGTATGTATGTATGTATGTATGTATGTACGTATGTATGTATGTATATATTGGATCAGATAGGTAGTGATCCGAATTTGACCTAGTTTTTGATCGGATCCTTTAATCTAACCAAAAGACTCGAACTAGGGATATCCGAATTCGACAAAACGGATTGGATCGGCCCAGTCCTTTTGCACCCCTACTGCTTGGCTAGATTCTTCATTTTGTAATGTTTATTTTTTTTTTGTTCATTTATCAAAAAAATGTAAGATTTAAATAAAGTAAATTAAATGTGGTGAAAAGTAGTAGTTTAATTTACAATTTAAACCTCACAATTAAATAGGGACTAAATTCAAAAATGAGTATTTTAGTTAAAAGAAAATTCCACAATATTATTCATATTTTTAATAGTGTTGTCAATATATAATTATAGTTGTTTTCAACTTTTACTATAGTTTTTTGTATTTTTGTGTGTAAAACTAACTATGATATTTTACACTTACTTTTTGTTTAGTATGATAAATATATGATATTATATATGTGTTCGAATGCTTTTTTTTATAAAATGTATGTATTTTTTTATTTTTAGACATTATTAATTTTTATTATTTATTTATTACGTTAAAGTTTAATACATTTAACTCAAAAGTTGAACTATTTATTATTAATTTTTATATTTCATTTTGGCCAGTTTTAGGGGGTGTTCTATAGCATAGATGAGAAATTGGGTAGTGTGTTTTCATCCACACCACAACCACACCCCAACAAGGTAGTTTTTCTACATTGTGGACAAAAATGTGTGGACTGATCCACACCACACCTCCATGGGCATTCTGCAAGGTGTGGCATATTTCAGTCTGCACATTGCGTTTTATTCCATGCATCTCAACTACAACATTTGAGATAATCTGTCGTTAATCATTAAAAAAAATATATTATTCATGGTTTTCAAAACCAAACAGGACCGGACCGGATGGTTAGACCAAAAAAATCGGGAACCGATCAGGTGACCGGTTCCGTTTTCCCAAAAATTGGATTTCCCCCCAAAACTGATGATTTTGGTCAGCGAACTACTGAACCGGGCGGTTAACTGTTTGAACCGTTTGGACCGTTCAAATGGTTTTGACCATTTTTTATTTTTTTATTTTTTTTATTTTTTGTTAGAACGGGCTGAGCATTCGGTTTGCACGATCGGACCGTTTGACTCGGTAATCGGACCCCTGATCGGTTCGATCATTGGGTCAGTTTTAGAAACCATGATATTATTTTTGGTAATATACACAATAGATAAAGATTAGTAAATTACTAAGGATTTTAATAGTTAATAAAAATAATATTAGTAATAATTAATAATATTAAATAATAAATAATGATATTAATATTAATTAAAAGCGGGTAGTAATATTAATGATAATTGATAGTATTAACAACAATTTTAATAATATTTAATAATAATTAATAATATCAATAACAATTAATATTAATTATTAATATTAATAAAAGTAATATTTGAAGCTTAATAATTAATAAAATAATATTAATATAAATTAATAAACATGAGTAGCAGTGGCAAGTGGTTCAAATAGAGAAGAGTAATATAGCATGAGAATAAACAAAGGATGGATACTTACTAGTTACCATCGACGATCCAATGCAGCAGTGGTCGGAGGAGGAGTAGCGAGTGGTTCAATCTAGGTTTGTTAGTAATACTCAAAAATCCAAGGCCTGATCTAACATCCAATCCGATTATCTCAGATTCAAATGATATATTTATGTAATTGGATCGTATTCAGATGTTACAATCTACATGCGATTAATAATCGGATTGGATTTGGATGTTATAATCTACATCTGATTAATAATCGGATTGAATTCGAATTTGACCCCATCCGATCTGATTAAAATATGAAACCAATTATTATAATATTTATTAATTTAATATATAATTATATTTAAAATTATAAAAATATATTCTATATATTATATTATATATGAATTTATATATAATAATTTAGTATGTTATATTTATATTAATTTATTATATATAAAAGTTGAAAAATAAATAAATTTTATTTTTTTGGTATTTTAGAAAATTTATAGCAGAGTCAAATTAAATGTGGATCCAATCCGAGTCCGTTAGGATTTGAATTCGAATCCAAGCCAATTGGATTCAGATGTAGGTTATCAATAATCGGATTGAGTGTGGGCTTTGTTGCATCCGATCTGAGTCCAATCCGATTACAGCCATAGTTCAAATAAAGATGAATAGAAATGATGAGAAGAGAAGAATAACAACAACAAGCTCACAAAGAAGTGTTGCAATGGTAAAAAGAAAAGAGGTCTTATACTAGGGTTAAACATCTATGTGAAGTATGGGATTGTTATTCCATATGCAAAATAGTGTGGTGTAGATGCTTCCACAAGATAAACCCATGGATGAGAAAATGGGCTATGGTGTGAATCAATCCATGAAATAGTGTGGATCAATCTACACTACAGCCAACCGAATGCAAGGTATAGAGGTGGTGTGGATTGAAACTAAATATATCGTTGCCAATCCACACCACTGAACACCACATTAAATTATGTATTTCATTTTTATTATCAATAAAAAATAATTTGATTACATAAATGCGTTTAAATTTTCTACATTTTTTGTAATTTTCTATATTTATTTTTATTTTAAAAATTTTATACCTAATTATGACTTTATAGATTGATCAATTTGATTTGGATGGTTGAATTGCTTAATCACTACTTGGATAAAGAATGCTTTTGTTTTTGAGTCAATTTTAAAATATATGGATTTATATTGTTAAAAGTATTGACATAGATCTAATTAGTAGCATTTATTAGTGAAAAATAACTTAAAAATATAGGATTTAATAAGAGAAAATGAGATTTAATACCTTAAGTATAAGGCTTAATTAGAGAAGATTAAATGAAGTGGAAAGTAATAATTGAAGTTGCATTTTCAACCCTTACAATTAGAGATGGATTAAATACACAAATATGGTCATTTTAGTAGCCATTAAAGCTGACATTAAAGCTATAATAAAATAGCTTTTATACCCCTTCTCAAATAAGGAAATAGAGAATAATTTTAATTCAAAAAAAACTTCTACACTATATTTATATATAGCATAAATTTTATTTATGGATACATATAAGTGCATTTATATACAACATAATAAGAAATATTTGAATTAAAATAAGCATAAATGATGAAACAAGTTAACAAGATTCATGTAGTCGAGACCTCTTGGGATAAAGATTGGATTGTAACAATTTGAAGTAAAATATCCCATAATTTTTCAACCACTTATTTTGAAAATCCATAGAAGTTGTGTCTCGTATATTCTTTATATATGAAAAACTGAAATATTCTCCATATTTGAAAAGGTTAAGTATTTAATGCGTTCTTATATATAGTATGCATGAAGTTGTTTGACTATAGTCTCAAGTTTCTTGCAGGTTGCAGCTGCTATTGATCAGTAATTTTTTTTTTTTCAATTGCAATTTCAATTGTTTTGTTTTATCATATACGCAGTGGGTGGAAAATTTCCAGCAAGCAAAGTGAAGGAACAGGAAGTGAGGGCATACCGGGAGCTTGAAAGGGCAAAGATGAATGGCGTTTTAGATGAATATCTATCGACTTGTGCAAAAGAAGGGGTATTGTTTCTTCCTCTTTGCGTTGCACCTTCTTTACTCGTTCATTCTTCTTTTCTTTTCTTTTCTTTTTGTTTTTATCTATTTTTCTTTTTATTGTACTCAATATGATTTTTTTGATAAATGTGCTCAATATGGCTTAGGCGAAGTTTGGGAGTGCTTATTGTTTCTAAATGGGCATTTCGGATAAATGCTTATTATTGAAAGGAATACAAATATAAATACGTAGGGCTCAGTTTGAAGGAGTATAAATACAAATATATATAGTATAAATATATACAAAATACAACATTTTGCACTCTACATATTTGTATTTGTACTCCTTCCAAACTGAGCCTAGAGTGCAAAGTCTTGTATTTTGTACTATTTTGTATGTATTTGCACTCTTTTCAAATAGAGCCTAATGCTCAGGCTCAGGCTCACTTTGGGAAGAGTGGAAATACAAATATGTATTGTACAAATATAAGGTGTAGAAATACTGTATTCAAAGTTTTGTATTGAATATATTTGTATTTGCACTCTTCCCAAACTCAACCTAAATAAGCAGCTTATGAGTGTTTGGTGAAAAAATGCTTCTTTCAAATGGGGGTAGTATGAGTATTTTGATAATTAGGCGGCAGGCCAAGACAGGCCAGAAATACAATATGCACTTTTCAAAAAGTGCTTATTAAAAAGCTCAAAAGTGCTTTTTTGGATGCTTATTTTCTTGAAAAAGTGCTTATTGGTCCTTTGTACTGAAGACCCATAAGTGCCTTTTTGGATTCTTTTGGAATCTTTTAAATGCTTTCCCTAATAAACACTTGAAAAGAAGTACTCTCAAATAGAGACTTAACAATCTTCCTCTACCAACATGCTTTGGTCTCCAAAAAACTACCCATGTTCATTTCTCCATCCTTTAGGTTATATTTGGTTTGAAGGAAAATGCATGGAAAGGAAGGGAAAGGTAGGAAAACCTTTACAAACCTTATATAGATTTCCCAGTCTTTCCCTTCCTTTCCCTACCTTTTCCTTCAAACCAAACATAGCTTTATTGATGGAATAATAACAATTTAATGTGAAATACCTAAAAAAGTTTGAATTGCTATCATTTATATTCTATATATTAAAACAGAATATGCCAATCAAACACTTTCTTGTTTTCTGTTTTTTTTTCTCAAAGGCCCATATCTTTTTTGTTTGTTTTTTTTTAATTTTTTAACTTTAAAATCGAACAAAATAACTCAAGTGGTCAATCACCTTTAAACTTTTAACTTTCCTCATTAACTCATCATTAACTTTCCCACTTCTTTCTCATTAACTCTTTTAATTATGTAGAATATAAGGTCTAATTGCTTTTATTTTTTTTTATAAATAAAAAAGCTAAAAATTGAAAATTGAGGCCAACAATCTAGGTTGTTTTAGTGGGGCTGCAAAGATTGTGAAAAGTTATTCAAAATGAAAAAGGATCACCAAAATCAAATAATGGAGCACCAAGCTAAGTCCTCCAGAAGTTTTCAATACATTGTAAATTTGTAACTTGTGACCCGATGATTGGGTCAAAAAGGTCAATGGTTCAACTACCCAAGTCGAATAACGCAGATTTGAGAAAACCCGAAATTAGAAATAGTGTTGAGTGAAAACATTGAATAAAATATCCTAAAAATTATAATCCATTTATATTCCATTTAAAAATGAAAAAAAAAATAAATAACCATAGTAAACTAATTTAGTAAGTTACTTAAATAAGAAAATCATTATTAATTATTGTTATTGACAAAAATATTTTTATTAATATTATAAAATAATTTAATTATTAGTTTTATAACTAATATAAAACTAATAAAAACTATCTAACAATTATTAGGTTTATAATTAATTTTTACTAATTTAAAACCAACTTAAGCTCTATTAAAAAATAAAAAACTCATTATAGTTAATTAAATTTAGTAAGGATTAATAAAAAATTAATAAAAATGTATTCATTTTAAATATATTTTAATTAATTTAATATCAATTTAAATTCCATTTAAAAATAAGAAAAATTATAGAAACCTCCTTTGGTTATCTAACCATCCTATGAAAGTCCCCTATGTTTTGACCTTAACAAAAAGCTCCCTTATTTTTTTTTTGAAAAAATAAGTAAATACCTTACTTTCATTAGCATTCCAAATAGAAAATGCTGATGTAATGCATTAATTATTTCAAATACCAATTTTACCCTTAACCAACTATTCACATGTAAATTTACTAAAATACCTTGAAAACAAGATTTTTTTTTGAAAATTATTTGACAAAATAAATTAGTGGAGGGTAAAGTTGAAACTTTAAATTGTGTACAATAGCACTTTAATCATGATAAGGGTATTTTGGTAACTTTAATGTCTTTGAGATTGAAAAGCCAAGGGAAAGGAGGTATTTGCACATTTTTTTTTCAAAACTATAGGGAGGCTTTTGTAAAGGTCAAAATATAAAGGTGGTTTATAAAATTGTTATAAGAGGAGTTTTTTTTTATAAATTTACCTAAAAATAATACAAAAATCATAACAAACCAACAAAAATGAAAAAATTAATAAAGAATTAGCATTAAGATAAAAAAATACAAATTTATCTAGAACATAGAAAATTGGCCACTTTGATTAATTGAGAACAACTTAGATTGTGATGACATAATACTTGAATTGGACTTAAATGGGCACTTACTTGGAAATGCCATAGAGCTCCGTCTTCAATTTTGCCCAAACTAGTTATTCAGAGAAAAGGGCGTGGAGCTTATGTGGGCATTAGGCTGCAAGAATGAACATATGGCCAATCTAGACAGTCCCTATTTAAAGGAGGGTTTGGATAGACCACAAGATTCCTCTGTGTGGCAAGGTGGGATCATCTAATGAGTCTCCTAAATGACCTGCCTTTATTTCTGCAAAGTGGATTGGTGATCTTGTGATTGGGAGCCCCCCTAGATGAATCACCTCTTCATTCCAGACAGTCCACCTTCGCCCCAAAAGTCAAAACCTTCATTGCTTGGAGTTAGGGGTGTCAAATGACCGGTTTTGGATTGGATCTAATCTGATCCAAACCTTATCAAATCGGATTTGGATGGTCCATTATAATTATTGGATTGGGCCAATCCAAAATAAATTGGTCCATATTTTTATTTGTCTGAATTGGATCTAAACCAAATTTTCAATAATCCGATCATGAAGCCAAATCCTTGTTTAATTTGAAACTGATCAAAACTGATCCGAAATAAAATCACTTTTATGAAAGCACTTTTATAAAAGTAGTTTTATGAAAAGTACTTTTATGAAAACACTTACACAAAAATACTTTTACAAAAGTACTTTTATGAAAGCACTTTTATAGAAGTAGTTTTATAAAAGAACTTTTATGAAAGCACTTCTATAAAAATACTTTTACATGAAAGCACTTTTACAAAAAAACTTTTATGGAAGTACTTTTATAAAAGCACTTTAACGGAAGTACTTTTATCTTTTATGAAAGCACTTTAACGGAAGTACTTTTATCTTTTATGAAAGCACTTTTAAGGAAGTGCTTTTATGAAAACACTTTTATGAAAGTACTTTTATAAAAGCATAGAACTTTTATGAAAGCACTTTAACAAAAAACACTTTTGCGAAAGTACTTTTATAAAAGCACTTCCATGAAAGTACTTTTACAAAAGTACTTTTACTAAAGCATTTTTACAAAAACATTTCTATGAAAGTACATTTTATAAAAGCACTTCTATGAAAGTACTTTTATAAAAATACTTCTACGAAAGTACTTTTATAAAAGCACTTCTATGGAAGCACTTTCGTAGAAGTGCTTTTTCAATGCCAAAAGGGTACATTTTTGTAATTTTCAGATTTTCTTCATTTTAATATTTAGATAGATAGATAGATAGATTAGGATATTTCAAATTGTGTTTTGGCCAAAATTGGTTTGGTTTACGCTACCTTAGGCCTAGGACTAGGGATGCAACTTGGGCAGGTCTAACTTGAGCCTAGACCAACCCAACCCACAATTTTTACATGGGCTGGGTTTGGATTTTCATTACTTGGGCTAGACCTGGGCCCACATGTTTAGGCATTTTAATTTTTAGGCTGCACTCGAGCGTAGCCCTTACACACACACACACAATTTTTAGTGTAGGATGATTGGCCAACCCCAATGCATCAAATTTTAGTGCGAGATGGATTTGGATTGGATAGTTTAAGCTCAACCTCGGATTCGAACTTTAAACCCAACTCTTAGGGTTAGATCTGGGTTGTGCTAAAACTTGGCCCAACCTGCCTGACCTATACTTCTACCTTGGACCATGTCGAACCCAACTAAGCACAAAACTCAAAGTTCCAGGCAAAGACCCATTCTGAAGACTCCGAATCTCCTGCCCACAAGAATTCTGCCCACGTCTACCCACAGCACACTACCCCTGTGTATTAAGAACATCTCTCCATGCATAATACTATGTAGGAGAATACGATGTTCTCCATATATAACTGCAATGTTATGTGGATAAAAGTGGGCAAAATTCTTGTGGGCTGGAGATCCAGACTCCATTCTAAAACCCAAAAAACACAAGAGAAGGCCATTCTAAAAATTATTAACCTCATTGACTAGTGACCTATAGGCTATTATTGATCTCTTTGGCTTATTTTCATAGGTAAGGGCAGAGAAACTAGTCGTGGAAGCGGAAGACACAAAGAAAGGGATTGTAGATGCCATCTCACAACATGAGATCAAAAAGCTTGTGATGGGAGCAGCATCAGACAAGTACTATTCGAAGTATGAACAATACAGCAAGGCAATTAGGCAATTGACATTTGATTTGGGGGATGTTCGCCAACGTGAATGGATCTTACTTTTTCAAAAATAAGATAATTTATATTGACGAACACCCCCTTCCTAGGGATCTGCTCTTTATACTAACCTCACAGTCACATTCCACTGTATATTGGGAATATCTCCCATGAATAATAACATACAAGAATATGAAATTTTCCCGATATATGGCTGGAACATGCTGTGAGGACGTCAATGTGAGGTGTGTTCTGTGAGAAGCAGATCCGATTTCTCTTCATAGTCACCATTATCGTTGTTGGTAATACGGTGCTTTCGAATCTTCTATCTCTGCAGGGGAAAATCGGTTTTGATCACCACAGGGTGTTGTTGGCAATACCTATACATCGTAATCTTACATTAGAAACATCTCTCCATAAATGACAACATATAAATATGAGGATGTTTCCAATCCAGATCTAAAAGTACTGTAAAATTGGAGTTCACATCTCTGCCCTACAAGGAGCCACCCCACAATGCCCCACAGCACATCTCTGCCGTGTATTATGAACATCTCCTGATGATGGTACGGTTGGTACCAGTCCTGATGATGTTATCATCGAGAGATGTTCCCAATACACGGCGGGAATGTTGTGGGGCAGAGATGTGATCTCGTAAAATTGGTGTGACAAGTAAATCCAGATTACCAAAGAGTCCCTTTTCTACATGGAGCTAGATATAACTCTACATCCATCTTTGAGGCTCAATTTGGGAATAATGTAAATACAAATATATTATATACAGTATAAATATAAGGTTTAAAAATAGTGTATACACAAGATTTTGTACAATACATATTTGCATTTACAGTCTTCCCAAACTAAACCCTAGGGTTGGGCCAAGTTCAAGGCTAACAGCAGGTTGTCAATGGATTGGGCAAAACCCTACTAGAACTGAACCAATCCAATTATAATATTATTATTGCCAAATTATAGGTTTAAAAGTATCGCTTTCAATTGTAATCCGGTCTACCCGGTCAGACCTGATAGTCCCAATTACAGATCCTATAGGTCTGGTTGGGAGAGGGTCTCGACCCAGCCCAACCTGATATCAAAGCATGAGTTGCTCGGACCAAACTCAACCTGAGTAAAACCCAAAAACTGCAACAAGGGTTGGGGTTGAGTGGGCTCACGTTGGCGTGGTCGGATTTTAAGGTCATCTTATTCATTCATGTTTTGCACTTTTAACTATACTTTTGGCTGTGTTTGGTTGCAATGCAAATTTATTTGTACTGGTACAAAATTATAGTAGTGCAAATGATTTAAATGCAAATTTTGATTTATTTTTATTTCAAACTTTACATTATTTTATTACAGTAAAATAAGTTCTGAAGCAGAATAAAGTAAAACCCAAAATAAATTAAACCGGAAATTGCATTTTTTTCCATTTGCACTTCTTTTTGCATTTGTTCTAATAAAAATAAAATTGCACTGCAACCAAACACAACCTACGGTCCAAAACTTGTAACATTATTTGCCTAAATGTCTATGGAGAACTTGGGAAAAGTATAAAGTTTTCTGAAACTGTTAAAACTAAATTTGACCGACCCAAGTTTTTGCTTCAATTTCAGGAGGATGACACAGCTCAGATCCAAGAAAGCAATTTTTGTGTGCGAACAAGCGCAAATTTCCTGCGATATATCGTTTGTCTGCAAGGGTATTCTCATCTTCAGAAGGTAAATTACTATATTTTGAGTTTTTTAGAAAGATAACTTTGTTGATCGTGTTTTGTCATGGAGGTTAACACTAGAATCACATCTAAACAGGGGCAACGAAACAGGGGTATCTCCTCCAATGCTGGCAACTGGTCCAATCAGTGGAATCAATCAACCAGAGTACACAAAATCTCTATCCTTTCCACAGGCACAGAGAGATCATTTTGCTGTAATTAGCCCGGATAATGACTTCTTCCGACGAGTGAGATCTATGCCGCGTCGCGCTAATGGAACAAGAGTTGCACCACTAACACCATTGCCTTCTCCACAAGTGTCTGAAGGAATACCAACACCACGGAGCTTGTCAGGATTGGAGGGGATTGCCAATAGATTGGAAGGGTTATCAGGGAGGAGCAGTTCTCAGGGTTCAGAGCATTTCAGAGGGTCTTCAAATGGCGATGACACAATTTGCATTTCAGATTCAACCTCCATGAGAGACGACCAAGATGACGGTGGTTCGATGTTTCACTCTGCAGATGAGTACAACATGGATCTTGAGAATGGAAAATTAGTATGTGCTTCTTAACCATCATTCTCCTGCTTGTTTAAGAGCAATTAACAGTTGAGTATTGTATGAAGTGTTTCTGAGAAGGTTTGCCTGTATAAACCCTTATCCCAAAATCTAGTCAAATTGAGTCTGCCTTCATCAGAGAATCAAAATCTCAATGTTCTTTGATGTTGTTGACTAACTTCTACCATGTCTTCTGGAATTTTGCAGGAGAAAGGAAGAAGAAATCAAGATATGTACAATCAAATAAAAAAGGCCATGGAAGACGCCATGGCGGAGGCTACAAATGCGAAAAGAGGAGCATACGAAGAATCTACCCGGCGTCAGGAAGCAGAAAAGTCTGCATTGGAAGCTAAACGCAAGGTAAGTTAACTATCATAGTTCTCTGTCAGATCGCCTCTTCTTTTCCATGATAACTAGTGGGGGATGGTCATGGTTCTTAGCTTCTTATTTGTTTTGTTAATCTTCATCATCATCCACAGAGTTGGGTCACAGTTTATAGGATAAGAACTAGGAGCTGCCATTTATCATGCTCAATCGTCACTTCCAAATCTTTACAGGCCCATGACTCAGAAATGTTATACAAAAAGGAGTTCAAGAAGAGGAAAGACATGGAGGAATTGCTTGCAAGAGAAAAACAAGAAGTAGAAAACACGAGGAGCCAGCTAGATCAAGTCATGAAAGAACTTCGAATTGCCCAAGACCACAAGCTAGAACTGGAGCGGAAGTTGGAAGAGTTGCACCAGAAAATCGCCTCGGCTGTGGAACTCATGACATCTCTCAAGAGCCAGTTGGACGAGTTGCAGAAAGAACGTGATGATGCAGTCCGAGAAGCTCACGAACTGAGGACAATGAGAGGAGATGATGGCGCAAGCTCGCAGAGCCTAGGGTTCCTACCTGAGTTCCCTTTCTCAGAAATTGAGCAGGCAACTCAAAACTTCGACCCATCATTGAAGACCGGTGAAGGGGGATATGGAAACGTCTATAGAGGACTCCTTCGCCAGACCAAAGTGGCCATCAAGTTACTGCATACCAATAACTCGCAAGGCTGCAGAGAGTTCCTTCAAGAGGTAACTAAAACTAGATTAATTTGGTTGCAGATTTCATGCTCCCATCTGTATACTTTTGCATTAATAACAAACCCAATTAATCTCATGTCGATTTTGTCTGGATTCAGGTAACCATTTTGAGTAAGATAAGGCATCCCAATCTGATAACCCTGATCGGAGCCTGCCCAGAAGCTTGGGCGCTCATATACGAATACTTACCCAACGGGAGCCTGGAAGACCGATTAGCTCGCAAGGACAACACTCCCCCTCTTTCATGGCAAACGCGAATACGCATCGCTGCAGAAGTATGCTCAGCCCTCGTGTTCCTCCACTCACACAGCCCTCAAAGGGTCGTCCATGGGGATCTCAAGCCAGCGAACATCCTCCTGGATTACAACTTCGTCAGCAAGCTCAGTGACTTTGGAATCTGCCGCTTAATCCCCCACGAGGGGAGCTCAACCAGCCCACAATGTCATAGAACCGACACAAAGGGAACCCTTGCTTATATGGACCCAGAGTTCCTGGACACAGGAGAGTTGACATTGATGTCGGATGTTTACTCATTTGGAATTATATTGTTAAGGCTTTTGACAGGAAGACCAGCCATGGGAATAGCCAGGGTGGTTCAGTATGCACTGGATAAAGGAAACTTAAAAGCAGTGCTGGATGAATCGGCAGGGAACTGGCCTTTTGTGCAAGCAAAGCAATTATCTCACCTGGCACTGAGGTGCTGTGAAAGGAACCGGGAGAGCAGGCCCAACCTTTCATCGGAGGTGTGGAGGGTGCTTGATCCCATGAGGGCTTCCTGCGGAAATTTATCTTCCTTCCGCCTGGGTTCAGGAGAGCACTTCCAGGTTCCATCCTATTTTCATTGCCCCATTTTCCAGGTCAGTAGACTCACAACAGGGAGAACTGTACTTTTGGGGTAGTGATAGATAGGTGCCCTCAACTTTCAATTGCAACACTTGAGTATCCTGAACCATGGTTCTCAAAACCGGACCTGATCAGACGGTCAGATTGGAAAAACTGGGAACTGGTCAGGTGATTGGTTTCGTTTTACTCCAAAACCGTTGATTTGGTCAGCAAACCACTGGCCCGAGCAGTCAAACCATTCGAACCATTCAACGGTTTGGCCGGTTTTTAATTTTTAATTTTTTGTCAGAACGGGCCATCCATTCGGTTCGAATGGTCGAACCGTTCAACTTGAGAACCAGACCCCTAACCGGTTTGTTGTCCGGGTCGGTTTTAAAAACCTTGCCATGAACTCTCAAAAATAGACACTTGGGTCCATCCATTAGTATTCTGTCAATTAAACATTGCATAATATCAAAAATACCCTTCTTTTGTATTTCTAAGATCATTCTTAGGTAACTGAACAGCCCCCCACAATAACGTTCTCATGTGGACAGCAAATAACAGATTCAAATTTTCCGACTATGGCATTCTCTGGTGATGATTTTATTCTGTAGAATGATCTCAAAAATACATAGGAAGGGTACTTTTGACATTATGTAATATTTAACCGACGAAATACTAATGATGGACCCAAGTGTCTATTTTTGAAAATTCAGGATGCTCAAGCGTTGCAATTGAAACTTCAGGATGCCTATCTGCCACTACCCTTAGAGTACAGGGTACCTATCTTTAATTTACCCTTTTCTTGGTTTATTAACGCAAAGAAAAGAATGGCGTAAGATTAATTTAAGAAGTAGTTCTTAGTCCTTACTCGTTGATTTGCATTAGGTGATGATTTTACTCCGTAGAATGATCTCAAAAATTCATAAGAAGGGTATTTTTGATATTATATAATGTTTAATCGACAAAATACTAATGGATGAATGGATGTGATACCTATTTAATTATTTATCACCACCCCCAAAGTTGTAATTTACCCTATTAGTGAAAGAAAAGAATGGCGTAAGATTAATTTAAGGAGTAATTCTTAGTTCTTACTCGTTGATTTGCATTAATTGTTTTGTTAATTTCTTTTAATTTTTATACTTGGAATTGGAATTGTAGGAAGTCATGCGTGATCCCTATGTAGCAGCGGATGGTTATACATATGAAGCCGAGGCATTAAAAGCATGGTTGGACAGTGGACACGACACTTCACCCATGACAAATCTTAAGCTCGCCCACTGTGATCTCATCCCCAATCATGCCCTCCGATCTGCAATTCAAGAGTGGCTATTCCAGCCCTGAAATCCTCTGCTTTCTTCTTTTAAGCTGTTTAGGTTTTCCTACCTTTTCTTTCAAATCAAACACAGCCTTATGTATTTTACATTCCACGGTGTTTTTTTTTTAATTAATTTTGTGCATATACGGAGCACAATATATGGAGAATTTATGCTTGTGTGTGTAAATATGCCAAAGTGGTGGTTATTTGTATGGTATGACCAGAAGGCCAAAGGTTTTCTTGGGATTCAGCCATTCAGAATTGGTAAAAGTGACTCTGATCATACCCTTTTTTGTAAAAATTCTAGTGTTGCCTATGTAAAATTGACCAAGTGTATCAGACTTATTGGGATATTAAAATTTAATGAAACCAGCAGCTCAATGTGCCCTCTCCCTTGTATTGGCCCTACTGTATTTAAACATTATGTGTTAACAGTTTCTAACAATTTCCTACACAATTCATATACACTGATAAGGGAATTTGCCTTTAATTTGCTTAAGCCAAGTAGCCAATTTGATGGTGAAATTGTTCACTTAAGATCTCCTACCCACAAATTTATTTTTTTCACATCTCTTTACTCACAAGAAAAGATATTTCCAATGCACATCTGTAGGTAAGAGTGGAGCACGAAATTGCCACTTAAAAACATCAATTAAACCTGGATTGAAAGGCCTGGGTCCATGCCTGAGGCACAACATGTGGTGGGCGGACATGTGCATATGTGAGCCCACCTGGCACGTGTGTGTATGTAGTAGTTTAGGTGCACTCTTTCCTATAAGACATAAATCAAATGCACAAAACAATAGATAAGCCCATGAAGAGTTCTTTTCTAGTCCATGTCGGACTGAAGACACTCTACAAGAAAAAAAAAAAAAAAAAGAAAACAATGAGCTTTTAATTTGGAACACACAAAACTCAATAAAAGTACCAGCAATCCCTTACATGGTTCAAATTAAAATAACACAAATTGGGCATACTTTAAGAAGCAAAATGAATTAGTGGTGATGAGGCATGTGCTAATAAAATTTGGTGAAACTAAGTCTTGAACCAAAGTCCCTTGATTGTAACCTAGTTGCACTTACAACACATGTTTCACCCTCTATAACAACTAGTTCTAATAGTTTGGTACGTTTTGGCCATGCACCCTTATTTGAATTTTCATGAGCACTCTAGAGAACAAAGCCCGTGTTCTAATAAGAGGTGACTCCACCTCCACACTCGTATAAGTGAATTCATTAGGTTTATGCTACAACCATCCACACCACCCATAAGGGCTATGAATTCATTAAGAGTGAATTACTCAAAACATATCATGATAGTGCTTTATCAACTCACAGTGACTTGTTATTATCCATTGAACCTCCTTCATGGTATCTTCAATCATAAAGGTTGGGTTGCTACCATTGTTCGTTTAATTTATGGGCTTTAAACCCATCCTCAATGTATCAAAGACTAATTTTCTAGTCTTTCTTTAATCAGAGGATCTGCTAAATTTTTCTTTGACCTTACAAATTAAAATGTGATCACACTATCACTTAGTAATCCTTTTACTATGTTGTGTCTTAGCCAAATATGACCTCTCTTCCCATTGTAGCTACTATTTTGGCTTTAGTGGTCATTGTTTGATTGTCACAATGTGAAGAAACAGAAGGGATTGTTTTTGTCTACAAAGGTAAGTCAACTAATAATTTAAGAAGCCATTGGGTCTCCATACTAGCCTATTTTATAGAAATGAACTCAGATTCCATTGTTAATTGTGCTATACAGGTTTTCTTGATGGACTTCCATTATATGGCTCCACCACCTAAGGTAAACACATAATCTTCTAACGCACATCTAAATTTATGATCTAATTTGCATCACAATAACCTTCTGGTGTAGATATCCATCAAAATGCAGTCCTAAGTCAATTGTACCTTTAGGTATCTTAAGATTCTAATTAAAGCATTCCAATGTTCAAGTTCGGGATTATGGATATATCTACTTAATTTGCCAACAACAAACACAATATTTAGACATGTACAATTCATTAAGAATATTAAATTGCCTAAAATTCTAACATATTCATGTTGGAAAATAGCACCACCGTATTTTTCTTTAATTTAATACTAGGATCCTAAGGTGTTCTCACAAGCACACAATGAAACTAATTAAATTTCTCCAACATTCTTTCAATATAATGAGACTATCAATGTCAAATCATTAAAAGTTTTATAATTTTTATTCCAAGGATTACATCCGCTTCTCCCATAATTTTTCATTGAATATGCTATATACATAACTATCTGCATCACTTATTACAAACCCATTAGATATTAGGACATTGTTGAATTTTTCATTCCATTGTTTAGAGGAGTTTGTTCAAGTCCATATAACGATTTAACTAGTTTGCAGACTGTGTTCTTGTCCTAGAGTTTTAAATCCTTCAAATTGATCCATATATATTTTTTTCTATAAATCATTATTAAGGAAAGTAGTTTTTACATCCATTTGATATGGATGTATAAATAATTTCAAAATAAAGGCTATGACAATTATGACCCTAATGGTTGTTATTTTTTTTAGCGGAGAATAGGTGTCAAAATAGGTGACACCATCTTTTTGTTACTGAAGAACTAGTTTGGCAGCATGACAATCAATTCCAATGTGTTGTTGACTAGGTGAAGGACATGGCTCAGTCCCCGAGCCACATCATCTTCCATGTGGCATGTAAAATGGGCTAGGGTATGGCCCCATCACCAGTCCCCCGATTCCGTAGTCGATGAGATACGCATGCTTTTTCACTTTTGAATTTTGAATGGGTGGTCACATTGTTTCATCTTCCCAAGTTCACGCTTGTACATGGGCCACAAGATCAAATCTGGACCATTGATTACAGATTAGCTACCTCTATTTTTAAGGTAAGGGGTGAGCCATTTTCCTTTGTCGTTGAGCAAGAGTGATTTGGAGAGTTTAGCTAGAGTCCTCGTGCTTAGTAGTCCTCATCCCCGTATGTCTTCAACCTCGTATTCTTTTCTTCCTTGTCAGATTATTCTTCGGGGTACTTGAGGACCACAAAGTCCATCTCGAGTAATGAGCAAGGTGGTGAGGCGGCATTACAAAGAGGAGGTTGTCGAGGTGAGTGTCCCTGAGACCGACGCCAATTAGGCCAAGGTCAAGGTGGATGTTGTAGGCATAGATTCCAAGGATGAGGTCCGTGAGGTTCCCAAGGAGGAACTTGAAATCACCCAATGAGGGTTGTCCAAGCAGCCCATTAACCGTGTGGAGGTCGAGGGGAATGATCAATCCGACAAGGCCGAGGAGGGCGAAGAAGTCTCTGGTTGGGCCTTCCCTAGGCTTGGCAACACACCCTATTGTCCAACAGATGTAGACATGGACCGCATCAAGAGTCTATACTTAATAACCGAGGAGTATAGGCTTAGGTGCTCGAGGAGGGGTGAATGCACAAATAAGCCTTGGGAGGGAGAGCTATGTGTATACGAGCATAACCTAGAGTTCCCCTTAGATGATATTGACCAAGCATAGGGTGTTACCCATCCAAATAGTGTCGAATTGTTTTCAGTATTTGATCGGTCTGTTGTGCTTTTAAACTTTGCATGACATGCCAATGACTTCCCTTTGTTCCATACACTCTTGTTCTTGAAGAAATATAGCCAACTGAGATTTTACAATTTCTTAGCTTGGCAAAATTTGAAGATACTCGAAGGAGAACCCTCTTCCATTCACAAGTGAAAGGCAGGATTTTTTTTTCATGAGCAGTAAGGGCAAGTTGCCTATAGGATCGAGGTTGTGAACTCCTGTGAGGGAAAATGGCCTATGTCTAGTCTTCAAATCAATGTGATGAAGTATATGTCCAAGGCTCGACTAAGTAGAGACAAATTGTGTCTAGCTCGTCCCGATTACCGATGACTCTCCCTTACCGATGACTAAGTATATGTCCAAGGCTCGATCAGTTGTTCTTCTTGCATATTCAGAGAGGTTGTCAGTAGGAAATCAACCAAAGTCAGCCAAGGAGTTAGGGAGGGAGAAGCTTGGGATGCTCATCTTCGACATCTTTAAAATGTTCAGAACCGAAAGAAGACCATGTCCGGTCCTAAGGGTGCATCGGTAGTGGTTGATGGGGCTGGATGTTTGAGTGCGGTGGCTCCTCAGCCTTCGAAGTGCCCACGTGAGGTGGAGGTGGAGGCTAAGTCCAATGTAGAGTGGAAAACAAGGTCTTCTCATTGTCCCCAGGTTAAGTAGGAGGGCGAGAACTCGATATGTTGCCCGAACTAAAGAGTTAAGGTCAGCGATACACTTGAGGTAGAGGGGGTGTACGAAGAGATCAACTAGGGGATCCTGATCCCCAAGGTGGCCAAGGAGATGTGGGAGCAGACAAGCGGTGCAGTTGGTAGCGCAGTCATCAAACTAACCATACAAGTAATTTTGCTATCAAAATTTCTTCAACTTTGTGCTTTAGACTTGTCTATCTTGTTTTGGTTCTGTAGGGCACCAACTTAGTTGTTCACTTGGTGAATTGGATGCGGGGAATGTCCTAATTCATCGAGATCCTAGGTGGGAAGATGAGGGTTGTGAAGGCTACATTGGATGCGGAGAAGGAGAAGACAAAGGTCGAGGAGAAGAAGACTCGTCAACTAAAGAAGCATTTGACTAAGGATAAGGCGGCTATTAAGCTAGCAAAGAAGAGGGTTTGCACGACTAGGGAGGCTACAGATGTTGAGGAGTTTCAAACCTTTAATAGTGTGGGTAGGAATTGGATGATTTCAGTAATGACTCCTATGTCTTTGGGTTCCAACACTATCAAAAGAAGGTGGTTGAGATTTTTCCAGAGGTGGCCAAAGTGGTGCATGGCCTCCCACCTCTTGATTAGCCATCACAACCTCAAGAAGGCAACTTGGCCAAAATGGGAGAGATTATTGGGCAACTTGAGGAATTTTCTTCCCCATTGTTTTGTTTCCCTCTTTTTCTTCTCCCTTTTTTCTTGCAAAGTTGTAGGACTGGGTCAGACTAAGCCAAAGAATTATGTATATAACTCAACACTTAATGAAACCTTAGTTTTTTGGCATATGCCTTTGGCTTCATGTTGTTTCCTTATCTCTTTGCATTCATTTAATACATTTATGTGA